CACATTAAAATTTTCCTATTGAACATACACTAAATTAAAGTATACATAAAAATTAAAGTAACCTCTATATTCAATCATCCAAGTAAAATTTACGGCATACATAATATAGTTAAAGACTACATTAATTCATACAAATTTAAAAATTAAATTCTTCTAATTTGTAAATGCAATTCTTGATCTCTTAATTATAATTAATAAAATACGAAATATAATTAAGGAAATGGAATTATAAAATTAATTAAATGTATATTCATAAATATTTAGGAATGGACTATATTAATCTGACAAAATTAAAATACTAATTTTTTTAATTTCTAAATATAATTATCTTAATTATAAATCTAGCAATATAAATTATAATTAGGGAAATTATATCATAGAATTTGTTTGAATACATATTAACATATATTATGTGCATATAAAATGTATTATACAATCATATAACAAAATGTGTCCTATTAGAGTCTAAATTTATTTATACAAAATTTAAAATTTATATATATATATATATATATATATATATATATATATATATATATATATATATATATATATTGAGGATCAAATGAGGACGCATTCTTAGGTGAGGACGTGAGGACTAATCTTATGCGTTTGTTTTTTTATTTTGATGGCCCAGATTTGATTTCCTAAGATGACATGGATTGATTTTTTTGTTAAAATTGGGTAGTAGTGTCTTTTCTATTTTTTTTAAAAGTGAACGCATGTTTAATTCTTGCCTTAATTGGTTTCCTATTTTTTTGGATCACCACCGTCGCGATTTGGAGCAGCGATTTCTTCACCATTGATTGAGTGTTCGCCCATGCAATGTAATCGGTATTTTTTATTTTTTTCGCTCGTTCTTTTGAATATAATATTGTCTATATTTGGATGATCGTGTATATGTACAAATGACTGGATAGTACGATTGTGCATTCGTGTGTGCTGGTTGGGCAACCTAGTGTTGTAAGTTGTGCACCGTGGGCTGGTGAGTTGTGCATTAGTGCACATATTTCAGTACATCGTAGGACATTGAAATGTCCACTGTAGGATTTTTAGGTGGTGTTTGAATGCACAACTTTAGACTTATCGATGCACAATACTTTGTATAGTAATGCACAAATATTTTGTATAGTAATGCACAGATTCTAATTTACCCATAAATTTATATTTTTAAATATTTTAAAGGTATTTGTTTCCTTAATCCATGTGATTTGTTCCTTTTAATCTCAGCCATACTTTTATTCTAATTTAATGGTCTAGATTAATCCTCACATCCTCACCTAAGAATATGTACTCACTTATCCTCACCCTATATATATATATATATATATATATATATATATATATATATGTATATATATATATATATAATTCTCTTAGGTATTTGACGGTAAATATGTTACCGGATAATATTATTTTGTGTAAGTGAGTAACAATAGTTGTATTGCTGAGTGTTTCAATACAGAATATGGCGTGTCCTAGTACAGAATATTGAACCTCCCTCTTTGCTAGCTGAGGGAGTTCTATTTATGCTAGGTCCTAAAGGTAACAACATGAAGAGTCATAATTGGGGAGCAGATGCTAACGGCAATAACATGAAGAGTCATGAATGAGGCGCTGAGGCTTTAATTCTCTCCCTTCAACGCAATGAATGGCCATAATGTTTCCGCCCGTTGGAGTTCTGCCGGTTGGAATTCTACGTGGTGTCGGGTTAGATGCCTGTTGGTGATCCGGGTTGGGTGCTAGTACCATTACTCTGTCACCAGCCCCCCTACTCCCGAGTCTACTGATGTGTTTGAGTTGACTTGGGAGTAAAGCTGAATCAAAGATTCTCATTTTTTATTTTATTTTTTTTAACCAAAGTCCCCCTGGGCGGGCTTCAGCCGATGATGGCTGATGATGGCCGAGGCGCGGGGCCGAGGCCGATGATGGTCTATGATGGTCGAGGCGCGGGGCCTCGACCGATGTTGGCCAAGACGGGCGCCTCGGCCGATGTTGGCCGAGGCGGGCGCCTAGGCCTATGCTGGCTGAGGCGCGGGGCTTCGACCAATGATGGCCGAAGCACGGGGCCTCAGCCGATGTCGGCCAATGATGGTCGAGGCACGGGGACTCGGCCGATGTTGGTCGAGGCGGGTGCCTCGGCTGATGCTGGTCGAGGCGCGGGGCCTCGGCCGATGCTGGCAGAGGCGTGCGCCCCGGCCAACGTTGGCTGAGGCGTGCGCCTCGGTCGATGCTGGCCGAGGCGCGGGACCTCTTATATGCTAGCCGAGGTGCGGGGCCTCGGCCAAGGCGTGCGCCTCTGCCGATGTTGGCCGATGTGGGTCGAGGCGATGTTGGTCGAGGCGTGCACCTCGACCGATGATGGTTGAGGCCGGCCTCGGCCAACGCTGGCCGGGGCGAGCGCCTCAGCTGATGTCGGCCGAGGAGTGTTGACTCGGCCTCTTCTTTTTTTTTGTGTGTGTTTGTTCGTAGCTTACAAAACACTAACAATGTTCCCTAGCTCTCTACTTAAAATTTTTTAAATTCGCTACTCATTTAGCCTTTAACACCTAAGTATTTTCCTAATCTATTCGAACGTTCCGTTGTCTAGTTTTTTTCGAATTCACGCAGTTTATTAGTTTTATTTTTTATATTGCTTTTTTAAACACTGCTAGTGCATGTCCGTATTGGTGCTCATGCTACAACTATAATGGTTACTCACGCTTGGTTAGGCACAATCAAAAGATTTATAAACTTTCCATTAACATGTTCACAAATGCGTTCTATATTTTAAATTTAACATCAATCCCCACGTTTGCTACGAATCTAACATTAACTCGCACGCACTGGCCAACACACACTTATAAAATAAAAAACATGTTCAATTAAACATCCACGTTCCTTTTTACTCAATTCAAAGGGTCCATTTGCACTTGTTACTGTTTGCAAAAACTTTATTTGTTTCATTTTTAATATGGCATTTGGTATTATTGTGAGTACATGGTATACGAATGCCTATGCTCCGACTATAACATTCACTTGCACACGCTTCCAATCACTAACAATGTTTCCTAGCTCTCTACTTAAAAAATTTTGAATTCGCTACTCATTTAGACTTTAACACCTAAGTATTTTCCTAATCTATTCGAACGTTTTGTTGTCTTATTTTGTCGAATTCACGTAGTTTATTAGTTTTATTTTTTATATTGCTTTTTTAAACACTGCTAGTGCATGTCCGTATTGGTGCTCATGCTACAACTATAACGGTTACTCGCGCTTGGTTAGGCACAATCAAAAGATTTATAAACGATCCATTTCCGTTATTATTCGATTTCTGAGAGTGTATTCTTTTCATTTTTAATTACACTTTATTCAACTTCTGTTTTAAATTCGGGTTTTTTACCACCGAAGTCCATGCTAGTATCAATGCGAATGGTATCACAAAATCATGCACAAACCAAAGGAAATTAATTACTCTTACCGCGCAATGCACACAATCACCAGGATATTTACACATCAGCTGCCCATATCATTTAATCACCTTAGAATCTTAAAAAAACACTCATTATTCAGATGTTTGTACTTCTATTTAATAATTAATAACGGACTAATGGTTTAAATACTTTCGTGGGCAGCTTCGGCTATTATGGCCATCGGTCACTCCACATGTTTTGCATGTGCGCTTTTTCTTATAATGCTCCATCATTGCCGCCTCCCTTGCTGATTTCATTCGTTTGCCAGACCCTTTGGTTTTTGCTACGGGAGGTGGATGCACTTCTATCATCTTTGGGGTTACGACACCGCAATACGACTCCATTATTGCACGCTTCCCACTTTCATTCACCTCAGGTTCTTCGTCCTCCCCGAATGTTGTTTCAAACTCTTCCATGCACAGTCTCATCTCCTTCATTTTTTCGGGTCTTCCTTTAGCCTTGCCCAAACATCTATGAAATATATTCATTAGTTGTCCTTCCTCATTGTTGTCGTGCGCCAAAGTATTGTTACCATTCTGTTTATCTGCGTCCTTATTAGTGGGGGAGTGCTTGACAGCTTCTCGTGTCCATCAGGGTGTGATATGTTGTGGGGGGATGTCATCGATACGTTCATCTTTGAGTACGACAAAAACATGGCTACAAAGGAGACCAACTCTTGCGTACATTCAGCATGTGCATGCTATGTTGCTCCCATCTTGCACTATAACTGTGTATCGTTACTCGTTTTCATCCTCAACCACATATGTCTTTAACCCTTCTGCCTCCATGAATGCTCGAACTCGACATTTAAAACACCCTGCACTTATTTCCTTTTGGATCTCATAAAAAATAGTCAAGGTGTACACTGTTGTTGCTGATCGCTCAATGCGTAGTGGTGTCTGAAAATCTGGGGTATGTACATGCAACTTGCGCTTATTTATAGGTTGTTCTTTCATTGTTTTCTCATCGCACGCTCGAAACGGGTGAAAAATTCTACCAGGCATAAGTGCTTGTTCATGTTACCTTGGAAAATCCTATTCTCCGCCTCTGAACGGGGAGTGGTACGTAGTAGCCCACCCATGAACACATCATCGAAAAATGCGGGCACCCATGACGCACGATCCTCGTACATACGGGTTAGCCATTGGTTTTCATGTAGGTTGTATTTCCCAATTACTGTTTTCCACCCAATCTCGAATTCTGTTCTCGTTGATTTCTCGTTCCACACAACACTATTCAATGCCCTGTGGAACTCATTATTCTTTGACATGTTAGCCCCCACTTTCTCGCTAACCTTAGTCATTATGTGCTGGTGAGCTGTCGTAGGCTCCCAAATTAAAACCTTACAAACGTAGTAGCGGGAGTAAGGATCGATCCCACGAGGAGTAACTAGTTTAACTTTTGTGCTCAAGGAAATAATGGGGGGTTTGGAATATATCGAGAATAAATATTAAATAAAAGTGAAATTAAATAAACGAGAAATTTAATCGAACGAATAAACAGTGAAAAATAATATATCGAAAAACACTTATAATAAGAAGAGTTTTTTCCACTTTTGGTCCTTTGACTTTAGTGCCTCCGTCAATTTAGGTTCACAACTTTCGTTCCTGACATAAGTAGTGCTTGACTTTGATTTTTTTTCCACTTTTAGTCCTTCCGGTCATCTGAGTGACTACTTTTAATCGAAATAAATAAATTGTTATTTATATTTAGATTTAAGAGGGGTAAATAAGTCCTTTACCATTTCTTAAAAAATAAACAAAAGAAAAAGAAAAATAAAATTAAGCTATGTAATTATCCTCTTCTTCCCGTATCTTCTCCCTCTCTTACTGTAAGCGCACATGCGGCTCTAGTTCATGTATTTTTGGGATTATAGCCATGGGGGGCTATCTGATCAAGGAGACACAGTTTATGGAGTCTTGAAGAAGAAGAAGAAGAGGGTTTGATGAGCTCTCTTGATACTGTTTCAATTTTCATGATCACCATTTCCAATGCGCCTTAGCTCTCACCATATCGTTCCAATATATACAAAAATACTGGAATGATACTAGAAGCATTACTTAAAGTCTCAAAAGCTTCTTGAGTGATAGTAACAAAGATCTCAAACCCGCACTTGATGTTATTATTATTGGGCAATCCTGTATTGGGCGACCAGAACCTATTTCCGGTCGAGTTACAGTTCAAGAGGTTGGAAACCAATGAAACCGGGATGTAACGTAGAACAAGGAGATGTTTTTGTCGCCAGGAGAAGCGTAACTGAAGAGGTTGAAGTCCAAGGATACGTTCCGAGGATTGGAGGAAGTATATTTCAAGTCTATTGCAATGGTGGACAAGGGATTCAAAAATACATGAACCAGAGCCGTCCGTTAAGAGAGGGAGAAGAATCAGAAGATACGGGAAGAAGAGGATAATTACATAGCTTAATTATATTTTTATTTTTCTTTTGTTTATTTTTTAAGAGATGGTAAAGGACTTATTTACCCTCTTAAATATAAATATAAATGACAATTTATTTATTCCAATTAAAAGTAGTCACTCAGATGACCGGAAGGACTAAAAGTGGAAAAAAAATCAAAGTCAAGCACTACTTATGTCAGGAACGAAAGTTGTGAACCTAAATTGACGGAGGCACTAAAGTCATAGGACCAAAAGTGGAAAATACTCTAATAAGAAACCTTGGTCAGTAAAGATCCACCACCGGAGTTTAACACTGATCATTGATTTATAAAGTAATTAATATGCAGTTGAATATTTGTCGTGAAATTATTTCATTTCCGTTTTTCCTTAGTTGTAGGTAACTAAAGCACACGCGGTTTAATTACCCCTAACTACTAAATAACCTAAGACAAGCGCTATAGATTTAATTTAATAGCAGCAATAGGAACTAGGAAAACCGACAAACTAAATAACACAAGCACAAGCGGTTGCATTTAATTTAGGAAAATATTCTACCCGAGTCCAATTATCACTAAGCCGTCAATAATTAACCCAGTTGCTACTGAATATTAGAGTAATTTGTAGCACAACATTATCTAATATAGCAAATAATTATATCAAATAAATAACTAGTAGGCCTCCCTAGCAATTAAATGACACAATTATTTCAAATAACTTAGAAGAATATTTAATACTCAAATGCATAAAAAATATATAATAAAAATAAATAAATAACCTTACAGCGTAATGAACTCCGGGGCTTCAATTCACTAAACCAAACAAGAAATTAGCCGCGAATGGACATTGATAACAACCTTAAAGAATATTCGAGAGGGGAAGAATGAACATTTTACAATAAGAAACTTCTACTATTTATAGCATTCTAAAATTAAACCTAAACTATTTCCTACCACTTGTTTCCTACTTTTGTGTCATATGTTGAAACTCCTTGTAATAATGCCTTGGAATAGCTCCCATTGACTTTATTTTTGCTGCTGCACCATATGTTTTGTTAGGAAAGCAAACAAATTAAAATATTATATTTATTTAATTTATTTGTTGATTTCTAATATATATATATATATATATATATATATATATATATATATATTAATTAGTATGTATTATATATATATATATATATATATATATATATATATTATATTATATATATATATTATATATTATATATTATATATTGTATTATATATAAAAAGAACTAATTATTAGATAATATTAAATAATCAATGCAAAATTATTATAAAAATGTACCTAAAATATGAGTGTAAAATGTGCATATCAAATCCCCCACACTAAAACATTTGCTTGTCCTCAAGCAAAAAATACTATTTGCGAAGTAAATTAAGATGAAATTCCCAAAACTCATAACATATCATGAACAACAATCTGAAGCACCCTGCAATTAATAAGTTAGCACCCCTGTTCAAAAAAGGAGAGAACTAAACAAGTAAGCTCTCACAGGAATATCACTCATCACTCAAGTGTTTGATGGGTATAGATTTCACTCATGTTCATTTCTATAAAATTGCTCTACCATAGGCTTGCATATCTTCTCAATCACCACTACAAGAGTCATGCATGACACAAATCATAAGGACTTTCCATAGGTTGTAATGGGGCTAGGGTTAAGGTAGGGAATATTTTAGGAAAGTAGTTTAAATAAAACCTTCAAAGTAGAGGAGCAAAATAAATACAATTAATCTAACACCCTCAATTTTTTTTCACTCAAAACATTTCTCATTGAGGCTCCAACATGCCTATCATTCTCAAAAGTATAGAATGTTTCCTCAGTATTACCAGAATTCCCTTTACTTCATTTATTTAGAAGTAACTTCAACTCAAAATCAATTGCTGATTCTTTCTCATTTATTTCAGCAATATTTTTCTTTTTCAAACATATATTCTCCATTTTTCCCTTTTCATTTTTTCAATTTTTCATGCCTTTTTTTTTTTTTGAATCGAGAACTGCTTCATCTTTTCTTTTCCATAGAAGACCAACGACATATTGGCAACGAAGATACAACTCACCTCACTCTCAATCATATTAATAAGAGTAAGTGATCTCCCCCACACTAATCCTTCCCAACCTCACGTAGATTACAAAAATAATCCAAAATTTGCTCCACTAGTTATTCAGCTGGGTGAAGGCATTATTTTAGATATAAAAGGCTTGTAATGTGGTCCAAAATAAAGAAAGGAATGGCCATAAAGCTCAAAGTGGTTAACAAAGGGAAATAAATCATAGGACAAACCGGTTATTTGGCTAGTGAGGCTCAAAGTCAAATAATGGCCTTAATCACATTTGAATCATGAATGGTCTAATTAGCTTTAAAAGAGAATCAAGGCAAGTTCTAGAGAAACAAAATTATGGAAGAAATCACACAAAAGAAAGAGAATAAGACCGAAGTGTCAGTCAGTGGCTCAAAACACTCACAGGTTTATTGCTTACTTAATATAACTACTACATATCAAACAGGAATTGCTAACAAACTAATCACAATTTGCCAAACTATTTATTCAATCATGTTATGCTTTTCAGGAAAGGAAAATATAGCAATTTTTCAAAATAATACTTATTTTGTATAAAATACTAGTAAAATATTTTTGAAAATTTTGAAATAAGAAAACAAATAATAATAATAATTTTTTTTTTTTACATAAGCAAACTAATAATAAAACTAAATCCCTCCCCCACACTTATTACCAACATTGTCCCCAATGTTGAATAAAAAAATGCACAGAAAAAGGAAATAAAATAAAATAAAATAAAAATGGAACAAACACACCTTAGGTTGCCTCCCAAGCAGCGCCTTTGTTTATCGTCGTTAGCTCGACTTATGATATTTCTTTAAATTTCCATCGCCTTTTTGAGTACCTTCGATGATTATGATTATTCAAAAAAATAGCCCCTTCATGCAGATTAGGACTCAAAGATGATTTATTATTTTTTTCTTCTTTATTTTCATTAGAAGCAATTTCATCAAATGTAACAAAATTCAAAGAATCAACAAAAATTGCAAAATTATCATCACTAGGAGATTTCATGGTATCATATATATTGAAAGCCACAAGTTTACCATTAGACTCCATTGTAAGCATACCACTATGAATATCGATTTTAGTTTTTAAGAATGGTCTTCCTAACAAAATATGAGAAATTTTATTATCATTTTCCATATCCAGTACATAAAAATCAGCAGGAAAAACCAAGTTATTAACTTCAACAAGCAAATCCTCAACCACACCCCTAGGATATGTAGTAGATCCATCAGCCAATTGAATTACTATACTAGATTTATTCAGGGGTCCAAGATTTAAAGAAGCATACACAGGATATGGCATAACATTAATAGAAGCTCCTAAATCTAACATAGCATTTTCAAGTTTAACACCACTTATCATGCACGGAATAGTAAACATACCTGGGTCTTTGCACTTTTCAGGAAGATTGCCTTGACTAGCCATAGAGACATTCTCTTGCACTTTCACTTCTTCAACTCCTTTATTTGGTTTCTTTTTCAAAGTGCATAACTCTTTAAGAAAGTTTGCATAGCGAGGTACCTTTTTCATAGAATCTAAAAATGGTTTATTAGCCTCACATTCACGAAATGTCTCATATAAATCATTATTTGAGTTTCCTCTTATTGGTTCTAAAAGAGCTTGAGGGAATGGGGGTACTGGTTCATAATCAGAAAAATAAGAAAGCATACCTTGGGACGTCTCTTTATTATTGACAATGATACCTGCACATACTCCCTTGTTTATATCGACGTTCTTTTCCAGCGACATACTTCTCACAGTAATTGCACTTACATTCTCTTTAGGATTAACGATCGTTTGAGAGGGTAATTTGCCAGAACTCTGTGCTTCCAACCGACTTACCGTAGTTGCTAGTTGGCCCACTTGCCTTTCTAAGTTTTGAATACTAGCCTTTGTTTCTTGAATACTAGCGCTTGTCTCTTGTTGGAATAGTTGTGTTTCTTGTTGAAACTGCAAAGTGTTAGTAGCAAGAGATTTAACAATATCTTCTAGATTCATACCTGAGCTAGAGCTTTGGACTGGTTGTTGGCTGGAAGGAAATTGTTGTCTATACTGTTGAAAGTTGGAACGATTCTGAACAAACTGGTTCCCTTGTGAGTTCCCATAGCTAAAGTTTGCGTGATCCCTCCATCCAGGATTATATGTATTGGAAAACG